CGGGGAAGGGCCGCGGGGCAGCGGCCGCCGCCGGAGGTCCGGGGCGGGCACGAGGTGCCCCAGGGCCGCCCGGGGCCTCCCTCCCTGCTCCCATAGGGAATCCCGCCTGTTCCCTCCTGTCCTCGGCTCTGGCGCAGAGCGTCCACGAATGCCGGAGCCGCCCCGTGCGCACGGCGGCCTCCGTGCTGCCCCGCGCCACGTTAGGGCGCCCGAGCTCGCCTTAAAGGCCGGACTGCGGAGGCCAGACCGACGGAAGCGTTCCGTGGTCCCCGGGGGGTGAAGGTGTGAGCAGGCGCCCTCCGAACAGCCCCTGTTGGCCGCGGCTGCCTTCGCTCTGAGCCCTCGCGCTTCTCCACAGGGAGCTTCCTAAGAGAAAGTGGAGCTCTCCCAATGTTCGGGTGTTTTCCACAGCAAAGCCTGCCTTTGGGAGCCATCCGCCACCCTTGGCGCCCTGCAGGTTGATTCACACTCTGCTCCTTTTAAGATGCCTGTTGCTGTAGGTTCTTTGAAGCTATTCAGGCTCTGATGCCTCTCCGGGCAGGGGAGCCCATGGAAAATGTGACTCCTGGAGAGGGATTTTACCCCCTAGAGCTCTAAGGAAAGAGCCTGGTCTGAAACAGGCTTAGTGTGAGCTCAGTGAAGCCGAACGTTTGTCTGAGGCTGTGGTCGGGGTTGCGTTTAGATTGCTTTGCCATAGCAGTGGAGCAAATAAATAGAGCGGGCTTGTCTGAAAGGACTGCTAACGAACTCAGCTTGTTCTGCTGACGAGCTGAGCCGCCGTGGCGGGCGGCGGCGGCTGCAGCTTGGCAAAGCTGCCCCGTGTCTGAAGAGGGGTCCCCTCCGCAGCTCCTGGCGGGAGCTGGGGGCCCTGGCAGCTCCCTGAGGAGCGCGCGGGGACGAGGGCCGAGCGGGAAGCACCGCTGGTCAGCCCGGGCCACGGCAGAATGTGGAAGCGGCCGAGTCAGCAGCTTTGCTCCCTCGGGGCACGGAGTTTGGAGTTGTCTTATGCAAGTTCTGTTCAGTCTCTGGAGTGAAGCTGTGAAAACCTTGCAAGGGCTGGCCAGAAAAAGAGCTGCCTCGCAGTGACAGTAGCAGGGAGCAAGCGAGGCGTCCGAGGATCACGCTCTCTTCCTCCGGAGCACAGGAACAAGCTCCTGGAATAGTTCTACATGGGCAGATAAGAAAACATTGCTTTTCATGTTTGCTTTTATTCAGTTGGGCTCCAAATAAGGAACTGCTGGAGGCGATAGGTCTTTGTGCAGTCTGCAAAAGATATTATGAAGGTCACTGACTCTTTTGCAGGGAAGATAACAGTTTTCTGCCTTGCTCTGCTAATGAGCTTGTTGTCCTGTTTGCAAAATAGTGGGTGTCATCTAAAGGTTTATGTTCCTGGCTGAAAACAGACTGTCAGGAGGGTGGTAGGCGATGGACAGCGCTGGAAGTGGGAGGCATGAGAACCTTTCTTCCAGTATTGCAAACTTGCCTGTTCTGTTCAGTCTTCAGCTGTTCCAGACTGTGCTGGTGAATAACTTCCTCCCCTGAGCGGTGCTGCAGCTCCTGGGAAGCTGGACTAAGCTCTGGCACTGCCAAGGGTAATAAAAGGAGGTAGGATCTACAAGAGGAGCTAATGTAGGGATGGGAGCCACCTGGATACAGGGGTAGGGTGCAGGTACTCAGCTCCGTACGCTTAACAAGGAGCTTATCTGAACTGAGACTGGGGTCAAACAGTTCCACAGGTGCCAATTTCTACCTCGATGTTGGGTGCAGAATTGCCCCCTCTCGCTGTTTCGCTCTTTTTGCAGCACATTCTGCAGGTCCCCTAAATGAAATTTGCCCTAAGGAGAACCGGGAGCCTGTGTTTATGCCTCCTGTGGCCAAGTTCACCTGCTATTTTGTAAGCAGAGCTGCTGGGTTAGGTGGCACTGGTCTGGGGGCCTTCTAATATTATCCTTGTCACTCTCCCGCTGTGCCAGGAACAGGCAGAAGCCCCATCCCTCGTCCTGCTCTCGTTGTGTGTGTGTCAGCTCAGCCTCTGGTGACATAGCAGGGCCCTCGCTGCAGTTTTGCAAGCAATTAGTCATGCTCTTCTGCAGAATTAATGTCCCCCCCTCTCCCCGGATTAGGCAGGGGACTTCCTTGTAGTGCCAGCGTGAGTGCTGTTTTCTTTTGATTACTGGATAGAGGTTGTGAAAGTGGCTTTGGATGACAAATAAGGACAACTCTTCCTAGAAATGCTTGTTGTAGGGAGCTGGAGGCTCTCTGATTACTCCAGTTCTAGGTGCTCAGTCAGCTTGATCGCTTCCTTTGGCTGAAAGATGGTGCCTTTTGGCTCAAACGTGCAGGCTCTGCCACAGCCCGGGCTTGTGGAGAGCGCTGGCTTGGCTCAGCAGAGCAGGGCTGGAAGATCCTGGCTCCGTCGCTCCCTAATGGAGCGAGGGCTCGTTTGCCTCATTAAAGCAAATGTCACCTGGCAAGTGCACTTAAACCGCTGGAAGTGGGCAGTGGCTTTGGCTATGAGTGCTCTGAGTTTTGGATGGTTTTCTTGAAGTTTAGTGCTGACTGGCCAGGTCAGGTGTCCGGTTTAGCTGCTCGCTCAGTATCGATTCTGTTGCGCTTATTCAGGTCTGTTAAAGTTTCGCCCTTATCCGAGAGAGGACTAATAATGTGCTGGCAAACTAGGCTAAGTACCAAATGCTGAGCTAATCTGGCCTAGTGGAGGCGCTGTTAGTTCCAGCAGCTCCCAGACTCGCTGCTGATCCTGCTTGCCAGAGTTGCTTGGGAATGTGGCCCTCGGAGCTGGCGCGAGTGGTGCTGGGCCCGGGTGGGTGAAGCGGAACCGCTCGGACCTCAGGGCTGCTTTGCCAGGGAATTCCTGTAGTGCTGTCAGCTATTTAACAAGATAAATATTTCACCGGGGCTTTTGTCTTGATCTTGACTCTAAGCTTGCAAATCCCTCCTGAAATGTGGTTTCTTGCGTGGCTGGGAGCGCTCTGGTTGGGTAACGGCCTTCTGCAGGATGCGGTTTCCGAAGCTTTCGGGGGAGTCCTCGCTACCAAGGGAGCACAGGGTGAAAATACCAGGTTCAGGTCTACAGCGACGTCTAAAAACAGCTTCCATTTGATATCCCGGGAAGCTTAGAAGCCTCTACAAGGAGTCTCAACTGACAGAGGCGTCGAGCATCTAAATCCCGGGAACGAGGAGCCTTGACCTGGTTACCGGGCAGCACCAGGCATTGAAACCTCCCTTTCCTCTTGGCATAAACGGGTACAAGGCTGTTCCAGGAGTTCACAACTTCTATTCCGCTCGTGTGCGTGATTCTATCTCCTGCAGAAATCCTCAAGGATGTCTGTCGCTGTGAAAAGCACCACGTGGGAGCCCTTGCCCTCTACAGCATCAGCAGCCTCTCACTTCAGTGCCTTGGTCCGTGTGGACATAGCAGAGGTGCTAAACTGTTGGAGCTGCTTGCAGTGCTCATTCTCACCCTGATAGCTGCAGTTAAGGTGACCCAAGCTGTGTAACCTCCCTCTAAACATCCTAATGATTTGGCAGCTCTTCACACACTCCTGAAGCCTTGCAACCCTGCACCAGGCTTCAGATCTGTCCTCAGATGCTGGCCAGACTCCATAATTAAGTGGCCACAAACTATATTGCAGAGCAGACTATTGCTCTGGTCAGAAGCTCTTGGACTTGCTTGGTAAATGCTGGATTTGTGTACTGCGACCACTTGGCAAAGTGCTGAGGTCTGAAATACAGGTTGCGTGGAGACCTGAGGGTATCAACAGGCTGATTTCCTTATTCTGCTCTGGGAATCATCCCTGTCCTGATTATTCATATAATCATAGAATCCTTAAGGTTGAAAGGGACCTCTAGAGATCATCTAGTCCAACCCCCCTGCACACGCAGGGTCACCTAGAGCTTGTGGCGCAGGCTGAGTCCAGGTGGGTTGGGAAGATCTCCAGAGGAGGAGACTCCACAGCCTCTCTGGGCAGCCTGTGCCAGGGCTCGGGCACCCTCACCGGTAAGAAGTTTTTCCTTAAGTTCCTGTGGAGCTTTTGGTGCTTCAGTTTGTGGCCATTTCCTCTAGTCCTCAGTGGCCACCACTGCAAAGAGGCCACCCCCTCCTCCTCACTGCCTCCCTTGAGGTATCTATGGGCACTGCTCAGGTCCCCCCTCAGCCTCCTCTTCTCCAGGCTCAACAGACCCAGCTCTCCCAGCCTTTGCTCATAGGGCAGATGTTCCAGGCCCCTGATCATCCGCGTAGCCCTGCGCTGGACTCTCTCCAGCAGCTCCACGTCCCTCTTGTCCCGACACCCGACCTGGCACCCGCTGTGCTGCCTGTCGGCGTGGAGCAGCACCCGGAGCTCGCGTCTTGCTCAGGGTGCCGCGGTGAGCGGGCACAAGGTTAAACAAGCAGAAGGCGTCATCACCTTGAGAGCTCGCTTGGAGGAGAACCTCGGGAAGGGGAAGCCTTCCCGACTGCCATGGCTGGGTGCTCAGGGATGCCCTTGGACCAGCTCCCAGCCACAATTCAAGCGTTGCTTCCTCACGGGCCTGCAAGTTGCTTCCTATGGAGCTCTCGTGCTGCCAAAGGGTGACTGCGCTTCCCAGGAAGAGGGTCCCGGCTCTTGCAAGAACCCAGCCCTGTGCTCGGTGTCCACGCTTGCTCTGTTCCCCAGTAGCTGACGGATCCTGGCTGTGCTGGGTGCTTGGGTGGCTTCTAGGGTGGCCCTGGCACTGCTGCTGCCACCCTGGGCTCCCCACTTCCCATCTACTGTGGTGGGAGCTGCCGCCGTGTCCCAGTGGAGCCTCTCCTGGGCTGCCCGTCGGCATCACAGCCGCCCGCTCTGCTCCCCGTGAGCTGCCATCTGCCTAATGACCCCATCGGGCTCCGTAATCCCTTTATAGCCGCGTGGGATGATGCTTCTCGGGCAACGGCGGTGATAAAAAGCAGCAGTTTACAGAAGCAAATGCATTAATGGTCTAGCATGGCATCTTGCACAGCCAGACTCAACAGGCACTTGCAATAAGCCAGGGCTTCACCTCGGAGCTTAATGCTTTCCTCGAGCTGTAGGTGATCTGTCATATGTCCAGCTTTCTAGTTTTTCAGCTGATGCCGAGTGGCAAATTACGTCCTCCTGTCTAGGCTCTGCTGTCCAGTATCGCTGGTAGTGGAGCGAGCTCAGCCATGGCTCTGCTTTAGTCTCAGCTTATTTGCTCACTGCCAGCTCTATTGAGACAGGTCCGAGCCTTGTTTGGAGGAGATGTGGGCCCAGCTCGGGTGTCAAGCTTGGTCTGTGAGAGCTGGTGACAGAGCACAATGATCAGTCACATTTGATCATTGACAGGAAGAATGGGCTGTGCTGGGCACAGTGCCTAAACCTCTGCAGCTCTGTCCTGAGAAAGCATCCCTAGGCTGCATGCAGATAATTCCCTAATTGAGTTAATTGATCAGGGGAGCCCTGAGGCTTCATTTGTGGTGAAGCTGTGGATGCGAAACAGCCCGTTCGCGTGCTGCTGTGGTAGCTTTGTGCTTCTGCCCGGCCCAAAGATCTGCTGGGCTGCTCAGGGGACCTGGGCTTGAAACTTGCTTGGAACAACTTCCTCGTAGCGAGGAAGCTGCTGGGTGTCCTAGTAGCAAATCTGATGGAGCAAATATCTTACTTTCCCCCCGACACGCTTCTGGCGCAGCAGTTTCCATGTTGTCTTGAGGGCTGCTTGAAAATGCAAAGCCTAATGGCTTCATTTAAAGACCTTTAAATGGGCTGAATATAGAAATGCTCTGAATGAACCGTCGCGCAGTCCTGATTTCCCTAAATGGCTTGTATGGGGGACCCGAGGCCTCGTGAGCATCTGTGTTGCATTTATAATCTCCTAGATTAACCAGATAATTTTAGAAGAACAAATTGAAGTCAGAGATCAACTTCTGTAGCTTCCGTGGCCTGAGCAGCTGCTTGCTGGCACCAGCAGCCAGCACAGCCAGTGCCACCCATCTCATCTTAACATGGGCTCTGTGGTCCCCCCCGTGCCAGGGGGCTCTGGGTGGGCAGGAAAGTGTGTGTGATTCATGTCCCCACACCCGGGACAGTCAGACACCTTAAGATGCTGCTGGCCAGAATGAGCTGTTACTGCTGTGGTGCCGGCAGCTGATGGGAAGGGACTGACCCCTACCTGTGCTTGAGGTGCTGGCTCAAAACGAATGGTTCAGGCTGGTCCAGGAACGTGTCACTAACTGCCACCTCCTTTTCCAGGTGGAACCTGCCTGCAGCTGAAGCTGAGCTCGGAGCCCGTGGCACTCGTGCGCTTCGCCCGCGATGGCAGGTCGAGGTGGAGCCGCTCGACCGAACGGGCCGGCTGCCGGGAACAAAATCTGCCAGTTTAAGCTCGTTCTCTTGGGCGAGTCGGCCGTGGGGAAGTCCAGCCTCGTTCTGCGCTTCGTCAAGGGCCAGTTCCACGAGTACCAGGAGAGCACCATTGGAGGTGAGTGGCAGGCCCCAGTGCCACAGTGGGCAGATGGTGGCCAAGGCAATGCAGCCAAACGGCTCCTGCTTTAATTCAGTGTTTACAATTTGCTTGTTAGTGTGAAAATCAGGGCACTGGAGGGTAGTGCTATGGCAACCATAAGTGCTCTGCCTCTGAGGCTTCTCCGCTTTGTCCTTGAATATCTGCTTCCAATTAGGACCGTGGCCTTCGACTTGGTTATCTCTTAATTGTGTTTCAGACCAGGACCTGAGACTTCAGGGTTGTTTTTTAGCCTGCTGCTGTAAACTACTTCTGCAGCTTTTCAGGGCTTGTACTTTTAAACTTTAAGTCGTTAGCAGAGTGTTGTTACCTACCAAAGGTCTGTCAGCACCTTCAGCTCCTGACAGTATTAAGTGCTGAGAATAGGCTTGATTTAGGAACCCATATAGGAATTAAATATAGCTATATATAAATATATAGCTTATGGGCAAGCAGGGCTGGGTACTCTTTTGCAGAGGATCGTGTGGTCACTGTTACACAACCAACTCTGGATACAGAATGGAGTGTGTTTTGGCTGTAGCCCGTGGCATTATGTGCTTATGGGAACAAGAAAGAAACCAGTTACCGAGTTGGAGAGTAATGTAACTAGACTGGCTTTAGTGTTCTGAAGTACTGGAGATGTTGTCCCTGTGCTGAAGACTCCCCTGGTGGTTCCTGGAGAGGGAAAGGGCTCTGCAGCCACGTTGTTGCTGCCCAAATCCGTATCTGAACGGGGCTGCCAGGGCCCTTTGGGTGCTTTGGTGCTCTGTGACCCTGGGTCCTGCGTGCAGCAGCTTGATAGAGCGGAGCTGTGAGTGTCCCGGCATCTGGCACTGCCCGTGGCCTCTGTTGCTCCTCAAAGCCTCACGGAGCCGCTGGCCCTGCCCGCGGGGGCCCCGCAGCTGGCGGCGAGGCCAACGCAGCCCTTCTCTTGCAGCCGCTTTCCTAACGCAGACCGTGTGCCTGGATGACACGACGGTGAAGTTTGAGATATGGGACACGGCGGGCCAGGAGCGGTACCACAGCCTGGCGCCCATGTACTACCGAGGCGCCCAGGCCGCCATCGTCGTCTACGACATCACCAACACAGTGAGTGGCGCCCGGGCCGCGAGCGGGAGGGCAGGCGGGCGCCCCTGGAGCCGGCTCTTCCTGGGAGAGCCGCTGGCCTTGGTGTCCCTGCAGATGCCAGCAGATCCTGCCACCTGCAGGCACTGAGTCTCTTGAAGACCGGCCTCCTCATCAGCTCTGACCGGGGCTGTCGGAGCTGATAAAGGATCCTGCTGCAAAGTGCTGTAGAGGCAAAAAAACTCGCTGCTTCCAGGAAAGACTTGTTCTAATTGTGTCTTCCCCGGAGATCAGCAAGAGGCTGCCCTTCCTGACTGCTGCCTTCTCTTTGTTTGCAGGACACGTTTGTACGGGCCAAGAACTGGGTGAAAGAGTTGCAGAGACAGGCTAGCCCCAATATTGTAATTGCACTAGCAGGCAACAAGGCAGATCTTGCTGCCAAGAGAGCTGTGGACTTTCAGGTAAGCTGCAGTGCAGGTCAGTTGCTGCCTGAATAAGTTGGGAAGTGGATTTCTTTGAAGTGGGAGATTGCTGGGTTAGCAGTGCTTTGAGGGAGCATGCAGGGAGTCAAGATTCCCAGGAAGCTGAGGGCCCCAGAAGGAGATTTGGAGGCAACTGTCTCTTCTTTTGCAGCTTTTTACTGCTTTTGATAACAACTCTTTACAAGATGGATGTGGAGGAAAAGGCCCTTGGAGCATGCGCTTTCCCCCTCTGCTGCTGCCTTGCTCACGCAGTGTGCCCTCAGTAACGTGTGAAATGGCATCTTGTAGATAAGCAGAAAATCTTCAGGCATCTTTGTCTAGTTTTTACAGCTCTCACCTCAAGCTGCTCAAGGCAGAAGCTTAAGCAGACGCTCTTATCTCAGGCCTCTGCACAGACCTGTTGGAATTTGGTGTGCTGTGCTCCTAGCTAACCAAAGTACAAGGTGTTACGCTTGAGAAATACCCTGCATCTCCACCTGGGTCAAGCGGCTTACACAGGCAGCGCTGCCCTTCCCCAGCTCGCAGGGCTGGTGGCCCGGCCTCGCGTGTGGTGGCACTAACTTGCCAGCTGTGACGGCTGTGCCAAGCCTAGGGATTTGGGGTGGGAGTCTGCCCTGTGCTGGGACACACGATTCCTTTGCGGCTTTGTCCGCCGAGGAGTGAAGTGCGTGGAGCCCGTCAGCCCTCCCGGTGGCAGAGTGTCTTTACTGCTCTCCTTGTTTCTAGGATGCACAAACGTATGCAGATGACAACAGCTTGCTGTTCATGGAGACATCGGCCAAGACAGCAATGAATGTGAATGAAATCTTCATGGCGATAGGTAATAGCTTGTGTGAGGAAGAATGTCTGGAGTAGCTTGGAGCACCTGCAGTGCATCCCACTGGAAGCTGTGGGAATTCCTGGGTCAGCCGGGTTTTTGGGGCTCTTATGCAAGTAGATGACCAAGTTGTTGTAAAGCGGTCGGTGAGTGACTGCCTAGAGCCTTTTCCCTGTGAGGCTGTTCCCTGTGTTCCTTTATCTGGGATGTGTAAGGAGCTGAATTCATGGCAGGCAAGGCTGGAGAACATTTCCTTGCTGTTGTGGGCTGCTAGCAGCCCCTGATCCCAAACCTTAAGAGATGAGGGCTCGGACCAAAGCAGGGCTGAGCCCAGCTTGGTCTGGCAGCACGAGGGGACAGGGGCCTTTTCAGAGGAGCCTACTAATGTCTTGTTTCCTTCTAGCCAAGAAACTGCCAAAAAATGAACCCCAGAACGCTGCTGGTGGCCCAGGTAGGAATCGGGTTGTTGACCTTCAAGAAAGCAGTCAGCCTAGTAGGAGCCAGTGCTGCAGCAATTGAGCAACCGTTCCCACCTGGCCGGAGCCCTTTGGAATGACGTGACTGGAATCCACTCTAACCAATCGCACTTACAGTAGAGCAGCCGCTGCCGGCGGCTGCTGTGATTTCTCCATCCCTTTCTGATCATAGGCTGGAGGGAGCTCTTCCACCTGCACCTTTCTGTACAAATACTAATTCAATTCTAAGTCTTAAGTCACTTTTTTTAATATATGAACTTCTGCTCTTCCCTCTTCGTGGTGGTGGTGGCTGCGTGAGCCGGTGTCGGCCTCACCGGCTCGGCCCGGTCCGCGGGCGAGGGCCAGCAGCACCCGGGCCCACAGTACTGTAGTTCACTATTGGAAACAAAGGGAGATCGAGACTAGACAGAACCTTGGTTAAAATTATCCACGTGTAAAGCTAAGGCTAAAACCAGTACCATATGCCTAGGAAAACCACTAAACTGTAGCATTAGAGTGACAAACTTTGGCATTTAGCCACTTATTGACCAAATCGATGATGAGTATTTTGGGGTGGGGCAGAGGGAAGCAAAACTGGTTTCTTTCTGTATTTTGTATTGTATGTTTCTTCATGTAACCAATCAGTATCTTGTCAATATAGTACATACAACTAGCCGCCTATTGTCTTTCTTTGTGTTGGACTCTAGCATGACAACGTTTTTCTATCTCCAGTTCTGTCGTAATGCACTAATCCTGTTGCAACTTTTGCAGAGATCTTGTATAGAGAAATGTCCTTTTTTTTGGATGGTTGTGATGCCACTAATGTTAGCCCTACTCTAGTGCAAGTACACTTGGTTTACTGATGTACGGAGGTGGGGTGGGGCACCTTGAGTAACTTGTCTGGAAACTATGTGTTACAAAAGCCTGTAATTCCACAAGGTATGAGGGAAGGTATTAAAATGGTTTCTGTTGCCAGACTAACTGATGTTGGCTGCTGCCTAGTGCCTAATGCAGTGTCTTATGCATACTGGTATTTTAGAGGAACTGTCAGCCTAGTCTTCATCACAAGCTCCAATTTTGTGTGATTAAAAAGGAGAAAAAAACAATTTTTATAAACCCACCATGCTCAGCACTGTTCCTGTTTCTTAAAGAGCTGAATGCAGCGGGGCAGGAGCACACCCAGTGCTGGAGGATGACAGGGGCTGGTTGTCTCGGGGTGTGTGCTGTGCCCGGCTCTCCCGGAGCTTTCCCTGGAGCCCTGCTCTGCCAGGGCCACTGGCCTCCCCTTCCCAGGCAGGGAGCAATGCAGCTCCGTGGCTTTTTGCTGCTCCTGCTTGCAGGGAAGAGGAGTGTTTGCTGTGGATGGAGCAGAGCTGGGTGGCCTGGGACAGCTCCTGGAGCGGCACTCCGCCCCGGGTGGAAGGGTGGGAAGGGTCCTAAGCTAGGGCTCGTAGGGGAGCATCACCAGCTGCACCGGGGAAGAGGCCGAGGAAGGAGGGCAGTAGGCAGAGGGACGCTGCTCCTGCTGTCCCTGGAGAACGATGCCCTCGGAAGGCGTTCCTGTCCTGTCGCTGCTGCATGAACTTCAAGATCTCTGGACCCGGGGCACGTGAAGCAGCCGCTTACAGCCCTACGACTACCCGACCCACTGCCACCCAGCGCAGCCGCTGCCCCGCGTGCTTGGAGAAGCGTGAGGACGGCCGGGAACTGCTGCTGTCCCTCTGCTCGTGCAGCGGCAGCTCTGTCGGACCCACCGGCGCCACCACCTCCGCCTTGGACTCGTCCTCAGTTTGCGGGGTTGGGGCTGGGGAAGCTCTGCTGGGTAGCTGCAAATAAAACCTTTGTGAAATGCCCTGACTCGTGAGCTTCATCCTGTGGCACGGGCCCCTTTTGCTCACCCTCAGCTCCTTTTCCTAGGAGCTTTAGCTGCCCTGGGTGCAGCCTGTGGCTGTCCCTGCAGCAGAGCCTGGCACAGGGAGTGCTCGGGGCAGGGCTGCCACCAAACGCATGGAAAAATCGCGTCAAGAGCAGCGTGCTGCTGTTGCCATCTGCCGGCTTGTGCTCACAGTGCCCTCCGGAGCTTGGTTCCCACCTCCTTGGGCAGCTCTTGGTCTCTGTCTCTGCAGGAGGTGCCGGGGGGCAACTGGGTACCGCGGTGCCCGCAGAGCCTTCCCGCCTTGGGCCGAGCATGGAGCAGCTTTGGCAGGAGCTGGTGGCCCTGCCCTGTGTGCGGCTGCGTGCCTGGGCCTCACCCACGGTGTGGCTGGGCACGGGTGGTGGTGCCTGTTCCCGTGGGAGCCGCTCGCGAGTGAGGGCAGCCCCCAAGGGGACAAAGGGCCCATGCAGGGGCTTCAGCACAGAGGTCCTCCCAGTCCCTGGCCTCTTCCAGGGAATGGGAGCCGAGTCTGCGTGGAGCTCGGGATGGAGGCGGCAGCACCAGGACCTCAGAATGGTGCTGAGCGGCCCCGGGAGCTTGGGGGGTCCCAAGGGTGGCCCCAGGAGCCTGGAGTGGTGCCAGTAGCAGCTCCAGGAGCTCAGGGTGGTGCTGACAGCGGCACCAGCAGCTCAGGGTGGTTTCCCCAGGCTGGGTGACACTTCCCCTCTGGGGCAGGTAGGTGGTGGCACCTGGACCGTCCTGCCCACCCTGCGCTTCCCCAGCCCTGGAGCTGCCGGGTGCTCGCGGCTCCCGCCCCATCCCAAATCTGCCTCTGTCCCCGTTTCCACTGCCCCCCCCCATGAATCACATCCAGCAGAGCACGAGCAGGTTCTATTCAAAAGCATTTTTATTGGGTACAAAAACAAGCGCGTTCCAGTACAATCCGGAGCACAAAGGCAGAGCTGAGGGTGCTGGCCGGGGCTGGAGCCCGGGAGGCGCTGCCGCCCGTCCCGGCCGCGGGCGCCGCTTCCCTCCCCGTTACGCCTTGGCTGCGGCGGCGGCGCCGTCCTCGGCGGCGGGCACGGGCTGTGGTGCCAGCTCGATGGGCACGTTGCGCTCGGGCACGGGCGGCAGCGCGCGGCGCGGCGCCGCGATGCGCAGGCAGCCGTCGCGCAGCGAGCAGCTCAGCGCCTCGGCGTCCACGTCCTCGGGCACGTCCCACTCGCGCTTCAGCACCTCGTACTTGTAGGAGAAGGCGCCCTTGTCGTCGGCGCTCTGCGTCTCCTTCTGCCCCACCAGCATCACCTTCCTGCCCACCACCTTCACTGAGAGCTGCTCGGGCGCGAAGTCCTTCACGTCCTGGCACACGGAGAAGCCCTCGCCGGAGGTCGGCGCTGCGGCCGTCACGGAGCCCTGGGCACGGTCGCCGGCGAAGCTGCCTTGGCTGCTCAGGAGGCTCTCGAAGCCGCTCATGAACTCGCGCACTCGCTCCATCTCCTGCTGCAGGTCGGCGAAGATGGTCTCCGCGCTCGGCCACAGGGTCCTCACGGTGCCCAGGCGGGTGGCGAAGGGCAGAAGGTGCATTCGGCAGAGCATCTCGGCGGCTGCTGCGGGCTCCGGGGCTGCGCTCTGTCCTGCGCGGGCGGCTGCGTCCTGTGCGGGGAGCTGCGAGCTCTGTGCCCGCCGCTGTCCGGCCGCTGCTTTTGTACCCTGCACACGGAGGAGGAGCCTCGCGCCGCTCGCCCGCGTCACTCCCGGAGAAGGGAAGAGCTCCTTCCAGCTCCTTCCAGTGCCCTCCTCTTACTCATCGCGCCCTGCCCCACGTGCCTTCGCCCTGAGTCTCGCTGTGCTGCTCTCACTGCTTATAATTAGCAGCAGCATCAGCTCAGCCTGCGCCGCCCTCGCCCCAAGCGTCTCCGTTCCCAGGCTCCGAGCGGTGCCGGAATGCCGGACCCCCCCCACCTTGGCCCTGCACCACAGCTTCCCCGGGCTGGCTCCCCTCAGCCACGCCGGGGACCCATTCGTGGCGCTAAAGCTGCGGAGGGGACAGACCCTCCCTGTGGGCGCCCACGCTGGGTGCTGGCGGGTGTCCCACAGCTGCGGGTGCTGCAGCTGGGGAGAAGCCCAGAAATTGCCAGAGGCTCCTGGCACCCCAGGAATACGTCGCTACGGGGCCGGGCCCCGCGCTGCTGCATCACGGTGGCGCTGAGAAACCCGAGCCCTGACTTCAGCGCCCTATTTGCAGCGGGTGACGCGCGTGTCCCCACCGCCAGCCCGGGGCCAGCGCTGCTATTTCGGCCGGCGGATCATCAGCCGGGCAAAAATAGGCGCTGGGCACAGAGGCTTCTGGAAGCGCCCGCCCCCGGCGTGGCGGTGAATAAAAGCGGTGCCCGCGGGCGGCGGCAGCGCCCCGCGAGCAGCGCCCCGCCGCACCCCCGCGATGCTCTGCAGGCTGCAGCTGGCGCCGCCCGCGCCCGGCGGCCTCCTGCCCTGGCTGGGCCCCGTGCGCACGCTGTGGCCGCAGCCCGGCGCGCTGCTCGCCGAGCTGGAGCGCGAGATGCGCCTGGAGCTGGAGCGCGCGCGGGACATGCTGAGCGGCTTCGAGCGCCTCTTCAGCACCGCCAGCCCCGCGAGCCTCCCGAGCGCCGCGGGCTCCGCCGGCGACGGCTTCTCCGTGTGCCAGGACGTGAAGGACTTCGCGCCCGAGCAGCTCTCGGTGAAGGTGGTGGGCAGGAAGGTGGTGCTGGTGGCGCAGCGGGAGACGCAGAGCGTCGACGCGCAGGGCGCCTTCTCCTACAAGTACGAGGTGCTGAAGCGCGAGTGGGAGGTGCCGCGCGAGGCGGACGCCGAGGCGCTGAGCTGCTCGCTGCGCGACGGCTGCCTGCGCATCTCGGCGCCGCGCCGCGCGCTGCCGCCCGCGCCCGAGCGCAACGTGCCCATCGAGGTGGCGCCGCCCGACGCCGACGCCGAGCGCGCCAAGGCCTGAAGGACTTTATGGAAGGCGCGTCGCGCTGTTCCACGGGCAATAAAGCTCCCCCGCGGTATTGCGCTGCTGTTTTGCGTCTGTTTCGACGTTATCGGGGGCTCCGTACGCGGATGGGGCGTGGGGGGCGCGCAACTTTCCCGCCAGTTCTGGCACCTTCCAGGCATTGCCGCCAGGCCCCGCCCCCACGGGGGTGGGTGAGCGGGTGCTGCCATATATGGGCAGGGAGGGGGCGTTGCCATGCCATACACGGGCACAAGGGGGCGGGCATAGCCCATATAAGGCTCTGGGAGGGCGTGGCAGCGCAGCCCCGTATGTAGCGCTGGGAGGCGGTGCTTTTCCCCAATATGGCATCAAGAGGCGGGGCCTCCCCGGGGCGGGGTTGCTGCCGCGCCCTCCCTCTCCGCCCGGCGGACTACAGGTCCCGGCGTGCCCCGCGCACGCAGGCGCGCTGCGCTCGGGCGCACGCTGGGCCCGGCATGGCGGAGGCGGAGGCC